AGGCTTTCCTAGTATGAGCACTCTGGCATGGCTTAGAATAAGGATAAGAATAATAATATTGGATTCCAGTCCTAACTTGGAAACCTGATTTTGGGTGTCCATTCAAGTCACGACCTTAGATCTTGGGAATTTAACAATTAACCACTTTAATCAGGGATGGACTGGCCACTCATGATAAAAGTTGGAATCCAACTAAAAACCAGTTGGTAATACACATGTAATGTATAATCACTGTTTTTGAGTCCCAAGCAAAGTTTTGTTTTTACTTTTGTATCTCACCCATCCCCACCCTGTAAATGTAGAGTTCTCCTCATCATCTTCATCATCATCATAATCATGGTCATAATCATTTACACTACATCTGCTTTTCATTGGCTCTGGGTCACCAGGAAGCACATAGGTCCTCCAAGCAAACTGAAGTCTGGTCATACCTTCATTACCCTGTGAGTAAACAACAGCAGCCCCAACTCCAGCCAAGAGACCATATGACCCTGGTGTAGTCTCAGTGTAGAGTCCTCCACCATCTCCTCCATAAGGGCCGTAACATTTAGATTCTCCATTATCATCTTGTTTGAAAAAATTGAAACTGGTTGATAATCAGTCCAGAGTTGACTGCGACCTTAACAATCCTCTCATTTCCTTCCAAGTGAAATTCATGGTGTGCACACTGACTGGAGTCACTTCCAAACTTCCCTTCTCTGTCATCGTTACAGAAAATCTTAAGGCCACCCAGTACAGATGTTCCACACCATTGTCGAATCCACAATTCCATTCCCTTTATAAACACATCATTTCTCAGATTTTCAACTATCTTTTCATCACTGTGATGTGATCTTACAGAGAGTCTCCGGACATCACTTGCATTTAGCAACGCCCCCAACTGACTACAGGTTAATGGCAAATGCCCTTGTGGTTGCCCATTTCTCATCTGGTGAATCTTTCTCAGGGAAATCAATTTGTAGCTTCAGTGCCTTTTAGATTATTTCAGTGCCAGATTCTGCAAGAAGCTTATGTAATGAGATTTCTTTCAAATAAGACCTTGATAAGGTTGCAGGTCGAACTAAAGATAACAATTCTGAGAAATAAAGTTACTGATTTGCAAGATCATGTTTGACGTACTTGAAAACAACTTCCAACACCATCCTCTCCCTTTCCTCTGCAACTGGAGTCAGGTTTTCATTGACCACACAGATACCTTCATCAGCAAGGGATGTGTCTAAAAAGGAAGACCCAAAAACGAAGACCTAAGACCTAAGACTCACTGGTCTAAAACGAAGACCCTGTGGTCTAAAATGAAGACCCCGTGGTCTAAAACGAATACCCCGTGGTCTAAAACGAAGACCCAGTGGTCTAAAACAAAGACCCTGTGGTCTAAAACGAACACCCTGTGGTCTAAAACGAAGACCCACTGTTCTAAAATGAAGACCCACTGGTCTAAAACGAAGATCCATTGTTCTAAAAACCTTTTTTTCAAGGAAAGGCCATACACTAAGCTAAGATGCTCTCATTTCTATAGCGCATAAATTAAAATGTCATCTGAGCGCGCGACTTGACTCGACCAACATTTCCTCATGCCGAAGAAATAAGTATTATTTCTTCAGCACGAGGAAATCTTTGTTTTAGACCACAGAATTGGCAACCCTGCTTACCACAGAATTTACCTGTAGAATTCTCCACTATCCTCTCCTTGTGTCAAAGGTGAGGCTATGAATCATCGGTCCAGAATTAACATCAACTTTGACAATCCTTTCATCATTTTCCAAGTGAAATTCATGGCATTCACAATCACTGTCGTTAATTTGGATCCAATCACTTTCCCCACCATCATTTTCATATAACATCTTCAGCCCTCCCAGAACCCGTCTTCCATCCCGGCATTGCTGAATCCACAGTACCATTCCTGTTACGAAAACATTTCTGTCAAGATTTTTAGCAGCCTTTTTGTTGCTGACAACGTAATTTTGAGGGCTTACCTGGCCACCATTAGCAAAGGGACACCCCCAAATGAGAACAAGTTCGGCACATGTCCTAGAGGTCACCCATGTCTCATCTGGTGAATCTTTATCGGGGAGATCAGTTTGCAGTTTCAGAGCCTTTGAAATGATTTCACTGCTGGAGCCTACGATAAGTTGGTGCTCTCAGATTTCTTTCAGATAAGACTTTGATAAGGTTGGGAGTCGTACCAGAGATAACAATTCTGGAATAAATTTTTTTCGGTTGCTGATATTATGTTCAACATACTTGAAAACAGCTTCCAAACGACTTTTTCCCTTTCCTCTTTGGACGGAATCAGGCTCCCGATGACCACACAGATGCCTTCATCAGCAAGAGTCTCTTTCAGGAAACTAACTGGAAGGGACAAAAATTCCTTCCCCCGAGTGACTTCAGTAAAGTGAAGGAAGAAGTGCTTTTTGGCCTCCTTCATTAGCTCTTCCAGCATGAACACATCAGCAAGATGCCAGATGCTAAGATAAGTTTCATCATCGATTGCACCTTTCAGAAATTCTCCACAAGATTGCCTGACAAACTCCACCTGCAAATAATCAGATGCCTTAAAGCAAATGATACACATTGTCTTGGCTGATGTCAATTTCGCCCGAATATGCGAATTTGATCAAATCGCTAACAGCATTCTAGTCAAAAGAAAGAACTTCTATCTCTTTTTTCTTTCCATCGTCCCAATTTTTACTGAACAGGGTTTCAAAGTAAGGACTGAAAGAGGCCAGAACAACACGATGGACCGAAATTAAAGTCTTCGGTCATGACTGATCTTCAAAGTGACATCAGAATAATCTGCCATCTTCGTACATGGTCAAAAGTACCTCTGGCTGATTAGAGCCACGGTTTGAATCGATTGCATGTAAAGTTCCCACATCCGTCGAAAAAAGGCTGTCCAGAGAAGGTAAATCTCTTTCAATTGTAACCATTTTGATGATTTTCCGAGTAGGGAAAAATGATAGATTTAGTAACGCGGTCTGCGAGGAGGAAGTCTGGAGAACTAGTTACCAGATTCCACTCAACTGACTGACTAACAGCTNGCACAATTTCTTGACAAATTCCACCTGCAAATAACTGGATGCCACAAGCAAAGTATTCACATTGTCTTTGTTAGCGTTAATTTTTCCCGAATATGCAAATTCAATTTAATGACGGACAGCATTCTTGTCAAAACCAATAACTTCTGTCTCTCTTTCTCCACATTGTCCCAGTCTTTTGCAACAGGGGCTTCAGAGTAAGGATTAAACGAGGCCAGTACAACAATTTGAGCTCAAAGTCATCAGTCTTGCCTGATCTTTAAAGTGATATCACAATGGATGCCATGCTTGATTTTATATGAATTATCACTTGTAAGTGAACGATCAATTTTTGTCCAAAAACGACTGACTAAGAAGGTGAAAATGTCCCTTTGCAGCAGCCATGTTGAAAATAAATTGACTGTATACCAGTTTCTACTCAGCTGAAACTTTCCTCTCAACAATCTCATTTCCAAGGAGTTGAGACCACAAAATGACTAGGTAGAAGGGAAGAAGGGGAAAAGAACTACCGATAAGTAAGTTACAATCTCTCTTGTGGACTTGCAGTTTGACTAGAAGTTTACTCTAATGCAGGAACTTGATTGGTGTGAGCAAAACAAAACTCTTCATGCTGACTAGGTATCTTTTTTTCTACAGGAAAAAAATTATACAAAGTGGGCAAAAGAAGAAAGACCTTTTCAAAGGGGGCAAAAATGATATTCAGCACGTTTAAACATTCCCAGCTACAGGCTTCTGTTGCTTTGACCTACAGGTCTTGTGTTCTCTCAACTAAAAATAGAGATGCAATACTTCTCAAGGAAGCTTAAGGTTCCTCTCAAAGTTTTCTATGGTAGCTAGACATTTGATAATCACATGAAAACACCAACAATTGGGTACCCAGACAGATTTCTCTAGCCTGCTATCGTTTTTTTTTTCTCAAAAAGTAATCTTACCATATAATTTTTATGCAACAAGCTGAATTGAACACATACGTTTTAATTGATTCTTAATCATTATTTTGCATGAATTCCTTGCTTTTGTACTCTTCCCACTACTGCTGAGAGGCAGAATAATATTCAGGATCAGAGCTTTCTTACTGACTTATAAACTTAGTGACCAAGGCCTGCATTGTAGAGCCAAAATGAATATTTGCTTCCACACCAAAAACAAACCAAACATTCTGTGGGGGGCTAGCTTTTGACTCAAGGTCTGAATCCATCACTGATGTCAGATTATAAGACAAATGAATGTGATCCTGATAATTTTATAGAACACAAATGGTTTTTTAAAGAGGATGTAAAGAGCAAGTTCGAGCTGAAATGAATGCCCTCCAACAAAGGGGCTGACAAAAATAACTTAGTGTCTAATTAACTAGGAATTTAAACCACTTTTAGTACATCCAATGATAATGATGCCTTTAAAATGTCCTTCTCAAGTATCACATAGAACACATGAGTCTTAATACCTAAAAATAAAAATAATAAAAGAATCATTTAATACTTAATGCATTTCTAAAAAGTTTTGGTGCAATATTTGAGTGGTAAAGCATCAAAAGAGGGTCTTTCAACATGAAGGGTCAGCCAACCATTAACCTTTCACTCACCTGATCTAAATTTCAATTCTCTATATTGTATACTATATATATCACATAATTTTTGCTCTGAGATAAATTAAGGTCAACAACTGCCAACCTAAGAAGCTTTGATTAGTATACAAATTCTCCTCATAAGTACCATATGAAATGTATAGGGAAGAGTATATTGAGAATATTTATACTATTTACGGTGAAAAGGGTCAATCCTAAGAAGGCTGTGTAAAACAGTTGTTAAAAGAGTTTTGACTTACACAATAGCCAGGAAGAAGGAAATTCTACTTCAGGATAAAGATCAATAAATTTTTACAACCCTGCTTACCATAATCTCAGGCATGTGGCTCAAACAGCCATGGTTCTATTCCACCGTCCTGATTCATAATATCATCAAAGTCCTCATAATGCTCAAGATCTTCATACTCATCAAAATCGTCCTCTTCATCATAATCATCATACTCATCATACTCATAGCTCTCCCCATCATCATCATAGAAGCCATCGTTAACTTTGCATCTGCTTTTCTCAGGTTCTGAGTCACCAGGTAGTACATAGGTTCTCCATGCAAATTGAAGTCTGGTGATACCTTCTTCACCTTGTGAGCTAACAACAGCGACACCAACTCCTGCCAGGAAGCCGTATGACCCTGGTGGAGTCTCAGCGTAGAATCCTCCACCATCTCCCCCATAAGGACCATAGCATTTAGGATCCCCATTTTCATCTTTCTTGTTGGTGTAAAAGGAGAGGCGGTCAATCATCCATCCAGAATTAACATCAACTTTGACAATCCTCTCATTGCTTTCCAGGTGAAATTCATGGTGTTCGTTCTGATCAGAGCTGCTTCCCATCATAATCTCATGGTCACCATCACAAGAATAAAAAATCTTCAGTCCTCCCAGAACAGGTCTCCCATCCCAGCGTCGAATCCACAGTTCCATTCCCTTTATGAACACATCATTACCAAGATCTTCAGCAGCCTCTTTGTTGCTGTGATGTGATATTTCAGGATGTACCTGGCCACCATTAGCGAAGGAATGCCCCCAACTGACGGCTGGTTTGGCAAATGCCCTAGTGGTCGCCCACCTCACATCCGGTGAATCTTTCTCAGGGGGATCAATTTGCAGTTTCTGAGCCTTTGAAATGATATCTCTGCTGGAGTCTGCAATAAGTTGGTGTTCTGAGATTTCTTTCAGATAAGACTCTGATAAGGTTGGGAGTCGTACCAGAGATAACAATTTTGGAATAATTTTTGTTCGGTTGCTGGTATCATGTTCAACATACTTGAAAACAGCTTCCAAAACGACTTTTTCCCTTTCCTCTTTGGACGGAATCAGGCTCTCGATGACCACGCAGATACCTTCATCAGTAAGAATCTCTTTCAGGAAACCAACTGGAAGGGACAAAAATTCCTTCCCCCGAGTGACTTCAGTAAAGTGAAGCAAGAAGTGCTTTTTGGCCTCCTTCATTAGCTCTTCCAGCGTGAACGTATCAGCAAGATGCCAGATGCTAAGACAAGTTTTATCATCGATTGCACCTTTCAGAAATTCTCCGCACGATTGCTTGACAAACTCCACCTGCAAATAATTGGATGCCTCAAGCAAAGTTTGTACATTGTCTTTGTTGATGTCAATTTTGCCCGAATATGCGAACTCGATCAAATCGCTAACAGCATTCACGTCAAAACCAAGAACTTCTACCTCTTTTTTCTCTCCATCGTCCCAATTATTTCCAAACAAGGCTTCAAAGTAAGGACTGAAAGAGGCCAGAACAACACGATGAACTGAAAGTCTTCGGTCTTGACTGATCTTCAAAGTAACATCAGAATATCTGCCATCTTTGTACATGGTCAAAAGTCCCTTTAGTAGATTAGAGCCATGGCTTGAATCGTTTGCATGTAAATTCTCCATATCCGTCGAGAAAAACCTATCCAGAGAGGGTAAATCTCTTTTAATTGCGGCCATTTTGATGATTTTCCGAGCAGGGAAGAGAGTATTCGCTTTCGCTAACGTGGCCTGCGAGGCGGAAGTCGAGGCAACCAGTTACCAGATTCCCCTCGATTGACTGAAATTTTACACTCTTTTTCATTTCACCTTTCGGTCATTTACTTTGCCGCATAGATTCTCCTTTCAACGTAGTTAAACGTTAGATTGGTCGGGTAATTGAGAAGAAGAGCTCCCAAAAAAACCTGTCGGCCGACTGTCGGTCAACTGTCGGCCGACAGATTACCGACTGGTTACCAACAGGCTACCGACAGCTAACCGACAGCTAACCGACAGGCTACTGACAGGCTATTGCGTGTGAAAAGACGCAGTAAACAGGACCCAGAAACGATAGTCCCGCAATTAATAGTCTGATGAATTACAATTCTTGGTTAATTGCGTACAAAAGATATACATGCATATTACATTTATGACAAGAGCATGAATCTGGCATTAAGAACTGATCATGTTTCAAATAACCTAATTCAGAAAATGCTTTGTCCTGCTTGGTGACACATAGCAACTTTTTTTCGCGTATGTGTTCTGAATACCCCCCTCCCCGTCCCAAGAAAGAAAGAAGAAAAGAAACAACAAGGACGTCACAAATAAGAAAATAAAAAACAGAATGAAAGTACAAGACAAATAATGCCACGTTCTTAATATTAGTCACCAAAAAAAGCAATGGCAGCCTAAAGAAACTTTCTTATCCAACCAATGGTAATTGTGAAGAAGAGCTCCCAAAAAACCTGTCGGCCGACTGTCGGCCGTTTGTCGTTCGACTGTCGGCCGACAGTTGGCCGTTTGTCGGTGTCGCAGTGATATGTGTACCCGCGGTAGGGATACACAAAACACTGAAGCTTTGTACCCGGGCCTCCAAAGCCTTCAAGGAAAACATGGCGGTTACGAGGGACAGATTTTGTGGGTTTATATTTTAAAGTTTCAACCGATCCGACGACTAAATAGTGTATTTACGCAATAAGTGTGGAAACTATTACGATTTTAATTACGGGAATATCCTCCTTGAACTTAACAATTTGATAGCGAGTGAGTTATAAAGAAAACAAATGTTATTCAAAATAAAAAGAGAAAGCTTTCGCCGAAACATTTTTATTTGTAAAGGTAGTTGAAAGGCTTCCGAACAAATTTTCAAACACTTTTTCGAAAACTAATTGTCACGATGTGACACCTGTCAATTAAAGAGGAAAGAAGCATACGCTTTTGAAGAAATAGCAGTACCGGTGTGACAAACACACACGAGTTAAGTGATCATGCGACGATTTCCTCGTAAAGAGAAAAACAGAGATCTTACGGAAAGTTTTTTTTTATTTCCAACAACGATTAATCTTCGAAGATTTACCTCTGTTCCGTTTTAAAATGTCACAGAAAGTCAAATTGTAAGTGAATACAAATAGGTGTTTTGGAGTTGTCAGTCTGCTTGTTTGTTTTCTGTAATGGCGTGTGTAAATCGGTGTTTCTTCTACCGAAAAGCTAAGTCAATGAGACTCTTTCTACCTAGACACAAGGATATTTAATGTGACTTTTATTCATCGAATTCCTGCGTTTCTGCCCTGAAATTTACGACGAAAGTGTATTTTAAGATTTTGAACTGCTGCTGAGTAAAATTCTTTCTTTGTTAGCCTAAACTTATAAAATCGTTTGTATCTGGAGCATGTCAAACCCGTTTGTAGCTTAAAGGTCAAACAAGGATTGTCACTCACTGAATTGGCTCGCCATTAAGTCTTGTGATCGCCATCGTATGAAATTGTTTTTTTCGTTGTTGTTGTTGTTGTTGTTGTTAAGTCCGCGTTTTACTAGTCAGCGTTTTACTAGTCCGCGTTTTACTAGTCCGCGTTTTACTAGTCCGCGTTTTACTAGTCCGCGTTTTACTAGTCCGCGTTTTACTAGTCCGCGTCTTACTAGTC